TTGCCTTGGCAATTGTTGGGGAATTGATACTGTTGTAGGCAGGCAAATAGGATAAAATTGATTAGGTTTGTGAGTTGGAAGATCATGCCTTCACCATGCTCCTGTGTGACCTCATGCTCCTACCTGACCATATGTGTGTGCCCACCGGCCAATCAGACTAATTAACCACTCCCCATTTAGAAGTGGATTAAAGGCCTGGGACACGGTGGGCCCAGCTATTCTTTTTGGCCTCTTTTCATTGTTGGCCCTTGCTGTCCTGCGTCTCCAGGGAGTGTGGCCTTTGGGCCACCTGTCCATGCTTCCTGGCCTACATGCATTTGACAAGGCATCCACAGAACTAGCACTGAGTGAGAAAACGAAGTGATGAAAAGCAGCCAGTTTTTCACTGTATAGACCATTTCTGGACTTGGAGCCTTGATGGGAGCCAGTTTTCTGCAAAGATTTTTTAAGGTCAGCAGAGATGTCCTTCTACTCAAATTATCCCAGGGACATCACACATACATCTGCATGGACGCTGGCATGCAGCTTCAAGATTAATGAGGGGCTGGTGGCGTGGCTCACTTGGTTAATCCTCCACCTGCAGTGTCGGCATCCCACATGGGTGCTGGGTTCTAGTCCTGGTTGCTCCTCTTCCAGTCCAGCTCTCTGCTGTGGCCCAGGAGGGCAGTAGAGGATGGCCCAAGTGCTTTGGGCTCTGCATCCACATGGGAGACCAGGAAGAGGCACCTGGCTCCTGGCTTCGGATCAGCGCAGTGCCAGTCATAGCGGCCATTTGGGGAGTGAACCAATGGAAGGAAGACTTCTCTCTCTCTCTCTCTCTCTCTCTATAACTATAATACTATGATTCCAAGACTTGTGTTTTTTAAAATTATTTTTTGACAGGCAGAGTTAGACAGTGAGAGAGAGAGAGAGACAGAGAGAAAGGTCTTCCTTTTTCCGTTGGTTCATCCCCCAAAGTGGCCGTTACAGCCAGCGGGCTGCGCTGATCTGAAGCCAGGAGCCAGGTGCTTCCTCCTGGTCCCCAATGTGGGTGCAGGGCCCAAGGACCTGGGCCATCCTCCACTGCACTCCCGGACCACAGCAGAGAGCTGGACTGGAAAAGGAGCAACCAGGACAGAACCGGCACCCCAACCGGGACTAGAACCAGGGGTGCCGGCACCACAGGCAGATGATTAGCCTAGTGAGCCATGGTGGCAGCCCAAGACTTGTGGTTTTGACTTCATGGATGCTGTAGAGAACTTTTCAAAAATGCTGGAACAAAATATTCTTCTCTTGCATGCCTGTGCCTACAATACCACAGGAGTGGACCATTGTCCTGAGCAATGGAAGAAAATAGTGATCGTGGAGAAGAAAAAATCTCTTTTGAGTTCTTTGGCATGGTCTACCAAGTTTCTGCCAGTGTTGATGGTGAAGAGTGCCTGGACTGTGTGTTACTTCATTTGTCTCTGCCAATCATACCCAAGAGCATGGTCTTGTATGGTAGCATGTGGGAGTCTTCACTGTGATTTTCAGATGAAGTCAAAAGGGTGGAGTCACATTTGAAGATCTTGATTGGTCCATGTATTCCAACTATCTTCTCAATGGAGCCTAAATTGCCTGTATGATTCTGACTTCCCTGGATTTGTGGAAACAATGTTTGCAAGAAATTAAAGGCTAGTGACTGCATATTAGCATGTGGACCCAGCTGGTCTCCAGACTCAAGGAGGAGGGCTATTTGGTAGCATATCATTGACAAAACTGGCATGCTTTATTTCACAGGGATAAACCCTACACAGGTGGAGCAATCAACCAAGGAGTTTTCTATCCACATGACACATGATGGTCACATCTCTGTGGCAGATGTCACCTCAGGCAGTGTGAATTATCTTACCCAAGCCATTCATTAGGTCACCAAGCAATTTCTCTGCAGTCCCCAAGCAATTTCTGTCTTTAACCCATGCTATTGTGAGATTCACATGAAGGGAGGGTGGATTGTTTCAACCACAGTGGATAATACTCAGCAATTGTGTTTCTCAGAAAAGCATATGTAGTGAGAAAGGTCAGAAGCATCTGTGACTGGTGTCTGGAATTCTGTGGTTCAAAATGAAAGCTTTTTCCTACATCCTTTTATCTCCAGAATCTCCCAAAAATTTCCAAGTGCAAGAAAGTCATAGAATGGCCAGTGCTATGGCTCACTAGGCTAATCCTCCACATGCAGCGCTGGCACCCCGGGTTCTAGTCCTGGTCGAGGCACCAGATTCTGTCCTAGTTGCTCCTCTTCCAGTCCAGCACTCTGCTGTGGTCCAGGAGTGCAGTGGAGGATGGCCCAGGTCCTTGGGATCTGCACCTGCATGGGAAACCAGGAGGAAGCACCTGGCTCCTGGCTTCAGATCAGCGCAGCCTGCAGGCTGTAACAGCCACTTTGAGGGATGAACCAACGGAAAAAGGAAGACCTTTCTCTCCGTCTCTCTTTCACTGTCTAACTCTGCCTGTCAAAAAAAAAAAAAAAAAAAAAAAAGAAAGTCATAGAACAAAAAAATTGTCAATCATACAATTGTAACATTTCAGAATCTTTTACTGAAGCAACTGTTTTTTTTTGAAAAGTTTTATTTAATGAATACAAATTTCATGCATTTCTTATATAGTGGTTCTCACCCTATCCTCTCTGCCACTCACTCTCCTACCGTTTTTCCTTTTCTATCTCCTATTCCCACTTTTAATTTTTACAAATATCTATTTTTACTTTATTTTCATAAGATTAATCATGCACTAAATAAAGAGGTCACCAGATAGTGTGAGGAAAACATTGTTTTCAACAGTAGAAAGACTGTAAAATGGGATTACATCAAGCTAGAAACTTCTGCACTGCAAAGGAAATCAAAAGAAATGCTCAGCACAGTGAAGAGGCAATGGACAGAATGGAAGAACGTATCTGCCAACTATGAAACTGATAAAGGATTAATATCCAGAATGTATAAAGAGCTCAAGAAACTCAACAACAACAACAACAACAACAGCAATGCAGTTAACAATTGACAAAGAACTTCAACAGCATTTTTCAAATGAGGAAATTCAAATGGTCAAAAGACACTCGAAAAAAATGCTGAAAATCTCTAGCCATCAGGGAAATGAAAATCAAAACCACAATGAGGTTTCACTTCATACCAGTTAGTATTACTCTCATACAGAAATCACCAAACAGTAAATACTGGTGAGAACATGAAGAGAACGATACCCTAATTTGTTGTTGGTGGGAATGCAAACTGGTTCAGCCATTGTGGAAGACAGTACTGGAACCACGGGGAAGCCCTTATCACTGTAAGATGCTTCAGCTATTGCTTTCATTTCCCTTGGGTAAATTCCCAGGAGTGGGATGGCTGAGTCATATGGTAGGTCTATTTTCAGCTTTCTGAAAATACAGGTATCTCTGTACTGTTGGTTGTCCATCAATTCCATCCTATCAGGATTTATCTAAAAATTAAGAACATTTTCTGCATTTGCCATATCCTTACCTTTCCCTGCAAAGAATAGTGGAAAATTAGATAATGGCTATTTATTTCAGCATCTTTTTCTTTTTTTAAAATTTTCTAATTTTTTATTTATATAAATGGAACAAATTTCATGTATCTCATACGTACAGTTTTGAGAACATAATGACACTTCCCACTCCATCCTTCTCCCCTCCCTTCCTCCTACTCTTCCTCCTACTTCCTTTCTTATTTTTCTTTTAATTTTTGTGATAATATACTTTTTTTCTTTGAGAACATGTTTTATTATTAATTAAAGAAGCACCTAAAGAAACAAGTGATGGAATTGGGCACTTGGCTTATATAAATCTTATGAAACATAAGAATATCCTCCACTAAATACACCAAAAAGAAGTAAATCTTTGAGAACAAGTTTTACTATTAACTCTCATCATACAATTCTTTGAGGACAGAGGTCCTGCATGAGAAGATAGTGCACAGAATGACTCATGTTGTTAATTTAACAATTAACACTCTTATGTATGATATCAGTGATCACTGAGGCTCCTGACATGAGCTGTCTAGGCTATGGAAGCCTTTTAAATCCACAAACTCCTCCAGGATTTAGATAAAGTCATAAGCAAAGTAGAAATTCTCTCCTCCCTTCAGAGAAAAGTACATCCTTCTTTGAGGACCACTTCTTTCCACTGGGGTCTCACCTACAGAGGTCCTTCATGTAGGACACATTTTGCCATAGTGTCTTGGCTTTCCATGCCTGAAATTCATCATCTTTTCCAATGATTATTAAATTGCCTTTTCTTTTATTTGTTGTCTTTGCTAAATTGGACCTTGACCCTTTTTCATTCTTTGTGATTGCATAGTCATTCATGTCACATTGTGACAGGCCATGCACAGTGGTATCAGGGAAGAGGATTTTCTAGGCTTTGTGTGCTGCTAACTGGGCCCAGGCTTCACCCTTTTGAAAGATAGCAATAATCTACTCTAATCATATGCTTATTGCAATGTGGTTTTCTGCTACACTAAAATTACTGTAGATTTGAAAAAAATTCATATACAAATTATAAAATTCACACAGACATAGCAGAGTATAAATTATCAAAGAAACATTTGAGGGACAAAATGGAATGCTGTGGTTTGGTATGTTTAGTCCCTCCAAAGATTCATGATCTGGAAGCTTGGTGCCCAGAGTGATGATACTCAGGTGGCAGAGCCTAGAGGAGGTGGGGTTCAGTGGAAGTCAGCTAAGTCATGATGGCTCCACCTTCATGGATGGATTAGTGCTGTCTTGCAGGAGTGTGCTGGGCTATGATTGGATTAGTTTTAAGGAAACTGGGTGGTCATAAAGTGAGGCATGTGCGTTGCCCCTTCTGCATGCAGCTAGTTTCCTTTCTGCTTATCTGCTATGCTGTAATGCAGAAAATAACTCAGAAAAATATATTTTATTATAGCAACAAAACCATCCTGAGACATGCAGGGACTTGTCCCAATAGATAGCTAGAACTGTATTGCGCAAGTACAGTCATTATTAGAGTGCTGTATCAGCAGGGGCAGAGATCGGCAGACTGGAATAGAGGGCTCAGGTGGGATCTTCACATGCGTATGCATTGTATATCACTGGAGTACTGGTTACTTCTGTAATAAAAAGAAAAACAAATAGGTTGAACTCTACCTGACTTCGTATTCATGAATAAAGTCCTGGTGGAGTAAAGATTTATACAGTAAAGTGAAAACTCCAAAACCATAGGATTACCTAAAGGTGATTATATTTATGACCCAATGAGTAGGAAATCATTTCATAATAACAGAAAAATCCTTTGTGTGAAAATAAAATGTTCATTTTAGTAAATTGCACAATCTACACTTAGAACATTTTTGTCAAACAGGCCATAAACAAACAGAATATAAAACTACAGAAGAATGATGGAAATAGTAACGAATGAATGAAAAAATTGTGTGGTCATCTCAATAGAAACAGAAGAAAATCCTTGCATGAAAGTCAGTATACATTCATGATGAAAAACAGAAAACTTTTCACTTTTCTAAATGATATGATCAAATATCATGAATATACAAATTCTTCTTACATATCAATGAGAAAAAGAAAATGATCCAAATCTGAATAGGCAAAGTTCAAAACGAGCCAAGATGGTCACTAAATACTGAATAACCAAACATTTTTAATAAACTGGCAAATATTTGATTAAGTTAAAGAGGCAATTAAAACTATGAAGTGCTCTCACTTTAATGCCTGTAGGTGTTGTCAGTGCAATGCCAAGTCAGGTAAGTATTTAAAGCCATGAGCATTCTTTTATATAGTCATTGAGGATGTACGTTGATAAAACTACTTTGGAATAATTTCACACTGCACAGGAAATTTTTATATGTGAAAGGGAAGAATATGACCTTTGGGGGAATTTCATAATGGATATATTTGAAAAACCAGGAAGGAGGAAAAGGAACTTGTAGATGTGTATAAAATGAAATAAACTTTATTCATAATGAGTTCCATATTTAAAAATGATTGACAGCCATATTATAAACTGCTAATAGTTGTTATTTTGAGTTGACATGTAGATTTTGGTTAGATTGTTTCATGTAATTATATCCTTGAAGTAAAAAGAAAAAATAAAGAAAATATTTGCAAAAGTAGGGAATCTGCCTGTAATGCTACAGCTATTTGATCTCAAATTTGCTTGTTTTCTTAGGGGAAGGCTAACATTTCTTTCACTTTTATTTCATTTCCTCATCTGTTTTAAATTTTCATTTTATTTTAATTTTTACCTATGATTCTTTCTATTAATTATTCTAATGAAGCTGAAAATAATAAGGAATTCCTGATTCTAAGCACATTGAAACCTATTTCTTTTTTTTTTTTTTTTTGACAGGCAGTTAAACAATGAGAGGGAGAGACAGAGAGAAAGGTCTTCCTTCCATTGGTTCACCCCCCTAAATGGCCACTACGGCTGGCGCACTGCGCCCATCCAAAGTCAGGAGCCAGGTGCTTCCTCCTGGTCTCCCATGCGGGGGCAGGGCCCAAGCACTTGGGCCATCACCCACTGCCTTCCCTGGCTGCAGCACAGAGCTGGACTGGAAGAGGAGCAACTGGGACAGAATCGGGCATCCCAACCAGGACTAGAAGCCGGAGTACCAGTGCCACAAGCGGAGGATTAGCCTAGTGAGCCGTGGTGCTGGCCAACATTGAAACCTATTTCAAAGTGTTTTCCTGAATGGCAAAGAAGGAAAAAAGAAAAAGATATGAAAGAAGGAATGAATCCATTCTCATTACACTACCTTCATTAGATGTTGCTAATATATTCTAGCACATGTATATATCTAAATTGAATTTTATAATCACTAACAGTGAATATTAATTTAAGTTCTTCATGGAAAGAATTTAGAATTATGGACACATGGAATTTAAACAAGTGCTTTAATATGATATTATATGTTTTAGAATGTCTACTTAAGAAGTATGTGAAATTTGCTAATAATATGTGTGGGTATGTGTGTGTCCACATATTTGTTTCTACAAAATTATGGACAAATTCTCATATCAAAATTTGCAAAGGGAGAATTTACCCATGGAAAGTTCAGGAGAGACTGGGTGCAAGCTTCCAGATGTCCTATCCTAGTAGATTCACAAAGGTGAGCTCAATTCTCCCTGTAACTAATATGTGACATGTGCAATGTGTTTCTCCCTGGATGCTGTCCCAAGCCTTGATGTCCAGAGCTTTCATTGGGAGTTAGACACTCAAGCCTGCAAAATGTGAGTGATTGACCTCAGGTCCTCATACTCTAATCTACCAGAGCAAAAGTAAGGGTTCTTTATAAGCAATCTTATTAGCATAACCTATCTAATCAAACTAGTATGATATAGATCAAGGTCTCTGGCATAAATAAAATGCTGTTCTCAGGCAGAATCTTCCTATAGCAAGAGCTTATCACCTATTGTCCTGCCAGCTGCCAGTCCCAGAGATAATATTTTCTTAGGAAGGTGTAGAGTTTGAGCAACAAAAGAGTCCTGAGTTAGCCTTTTACCAATAGTGATTGACTAGTGCATTTCTGCATGTCAAAATGTCCAAGCTCTATTGACATTGCAAAAAAAATTAGAACTGTATTTGTAGAATAATATCCAATTTTTACTTAAAATATCAAGATGTTAAGGAATGGAGATTTTGGGGCCTTATAGCCTTGAGTCTGAGAAAACCGGGTGATGGACAGAAGGGATGACTGTATTATCTGCAAATTTTCTATAAGTCTAAAATTAGTTCAAGATTAAAACATTGCATTATATATTGTATTCTACTGGAGCAGTGAAGATTATGTCAGGAACTACTACTGCCCTGATAGTGGGAGTGCCGCCTGGTGGATCCATTCTGAAACATGTTTTAGTCATGAATATGCAGTTTAAGTGTCTTATACTTGGAGCTGAGCAGCTATGCTCCCAGATTTATTTCTCAAATTAATCTTATAGATTAATGTAGACACTTATATTAAAATGTACATTTCAGCATTATTTGTGATAATGGGGAATTGGAAGCAATCCAGATGTTCATGAATGGGAAAATGGATGTGTTAACAATTTTTTAAAAGATTTATTTGTTTGTTTATTTATTTGAAAGGCAGAGTTACGGAGAGGCAGAGGCAGAGAGAGAGAGAGAGAGGGAGGGAGTCTTCCATCTGTTGATTCATTCCCCACATGGCTGCAACATCCGGTAATATGCCGATCCAAAGCCAGGAGCCAAGAGCTTCTTCCAGGTCTCCCATGTGGGTGCAGGGGCACAGGGATTTGGGCCATCTTCTGCTGCTTTCCTAAGCATATTAGCAGGGAGCTGGATCAGAAGTGGAGCAGCCAGGGGTATAAACAGGTGCCCATATGGGATACCAGAGTCACAAAAACAGCTTTATCCACTATGCAACAATGCAGGCCCAAAGGGATACAGGCATCTATACTGCTAGGTCATAGTCTACTTGAAATCCAAGGGCAGGGAAAAGAAAGACTACATGACATAAGCGGATCTCTTTGGGGTGTTAAAAAGGTTCTTCATCTTGTATGATTCTGATGGTAGTTTAATGGGTGTAGACAGTTGTCAAAGTTCACTGATTTGTAAGCCTTAAAGCAATGAAATACATTTTTTAAATAAATGTCATCTAAACACATGTTGCATTCAAAATAGAAAGTTTGTGAGAGTCAGTTATGAGGCTGTTACAAAGCACCTGTAATGTTTATCTGGACTAATAAATGTCAGTAATGAGAAAAAAATATAATCACTGATTGGTTTAAAATGGCGGTTGAGTAAAAGGGAGTATTAAACAATCTGACTGGAATAACTGGGTAGACAAAAGGATTATTTACCGTGATAAAAATTGGAAATGGATAAATGTACAACAAAGTGAGCAGACAGGAAATTGGAAAGGTTGTCAATGGCAACATGGCTATTGATGTGCCTAGTCTTCTGAGGTTAACCTGTCAATTATATGCAAACATTTTCCTTCTTTCTACTGTGGCTATCTCTTGGATACGGTTGTTTTCTTACAAACAGTATATTTTATTGAACTATATTTATTTGTAAGGTTACAAGAGTATTTTTCCTCTTAAGTCTATCTCAAAATTATATCTCTCAAATTAAAAAGAAATCCCACATTGCTAATTATTTTTATTTAGTATCATTTCTTCTGTTTCCTTTGAGAATTATCAAAGTCTCTCTGCAAGAGAAAAATAGTTAATACAATTAAAGTTTAGTATAAATGTATTGCTTGCAAGATTCTCTGTTTTAGACATAAGGCAGAAGACCAATTGGCATTCAGGAAGATGTAATAACATACAGAACATTTATAAAGAGAGGCCAATGAAGGGGCAATTCTATTAGTATACTTGAAGCCTAAGTAATTAATCATATGAGTATGCAAACATTTACATAGAATTTCATCAAATATTATTGAAAATAATGACAACAAAAAATGATACAGGGGTGTTCATTTGACCTGTCAATTAAGGGAGTGGTTGAGGTGTCTGCATCCCTTATCTGTGTAGCTCAGTTCAACTTCAAGTTCTGCTCCCAATTCCACCTTCCTCTTAAGAGCTACCTAGCAGGCACCAGGAGATGGCTGAAATACTTGACTCTCTGCTACCATGTGCAAGACATGGATTGAGTTCCCAGCTCCTCACCTTCAGCCTGACTCAGTTCTGGCCATTATTGTTTACTTGGGGAGTGGCAGCTCTGTCTTTCTTTCTTATTTACATTATGATTCTTTATTTAAAAAAATTGACAGACGTGTAAGAATTGTACTTATTTCTGGGGTACTATATGATATTTCAGTACATGTATGCACTGTGTAATGTCTATCAGGATAAATATAGTTATACCTTCAACCATTTAACATTTCTTTATGATGAAAATATCCAAAATCCTATCATCTAGTTTGCTTTTTATATAGTACATTAACATTATGCATAGTCACCTTATTGTGCAATAGAACCCTCTCTCTGTTTCTTTAATAAAACAAGCACATCAATTTTTTAAGAGTGCTAAGCATTCTAAAGAGGAGTGGGCTAAATATGACATATCCATTAAAAGATTTAAATATTGATCTAGAAACATTCTTATAATTTTGAAAGAGCTTATTCATCCCCTTGTATGTGACATTACAACATAATACAATATATACACATGCATATGTCTAAATAGAAAGGCATTAAAAATATATACACAGGAAAATATTTCCAATGGATTTATGGTTCTCTTTTAAAGTTTTGTTTATTGCATTAAGAGTTTTTCTTTACAAATAATATATATTGTTTAAATGATCTATACTTTAAAAAATGTACATGTATAGGAAGAAGAATGATTGTTGATCAAGATTTATGGATATAAACTATGGCAGTAGTATAGTTTTTGTTATCAAATCCAACTTCATAAAGGCAGATAATAAATGCATTCCTTTAAAAATAAATAAACCAAAAACCCTCACTCATATGTGTGCATATATAGATACTAAAAACAGACTATTAGGCTGGTGCTGCGGCTCACTAGGCTAATCCTCTGCCTTGTGGTGCCGGCACACCGGGTTCTAGTGCTGGTCGGGGCGCCGGATTCTGTCCCAGTTGCCCCCCTTCCAGGCTAGCTCTCTGCTGTGGCCAGGGAGTGCAGTGGAGGATGGCCCAAGTGCTTGGGCCCTGCACCCCATGGGAGACCAGGATAAGTACCTGGCTCCTGCCATTGGATCAGCGCGGTGCACCGGCCGCAGCGCGCCGGCCGCGGCGGCCATTGGAGGGTGAACCAATGGCAAAGGAAGACCTTTCTCTCTGTCTCTCTCTCTCTCACTGTCCATTCTGCCTGTCAAAAAAAAAAAAAAAAGACGATTAATCACAAAAAGGCATATAAAATATTGCTCAGTCCTGTTACTGAGCAATTGGTCATTCTCATTCGCATCAGAACATTTACTTTGAATCATCTCCAAAGTGAGAAAAACAGTCCAGTTTTATCTTCCTGGGACTTGAGTCCATTAGAATGTTTCAACATTTCCTAATCAAAATTAGCCAGACTTTCACGTCCACATGATATGCTCATAGGTTATGTGCCACTCACATTTGTTCTCTCACACAGGTGAAGGAAGCATCACTGCTGTCTGTAAATACATCTAGTCAAATTCTTCTATGGATAAGTAGGGGAAATGAATTAATACAAATATTTCCAGTACTGGAAAAGTAGATGCCCAATGGCTACCTCATTAGTAAATTATCATATATTATTGCTTTTATAGATGATATACATACACAATAACTCATATCTGGAAAATAAATAATTTAAATTGATGGATATATAAACAAGCCATGAAACAGAAACATATCTATTGGAATCACAACTTTTTTACTTTTTATTTGATAAATCTCAAGAGAATATCTCTTAAATTAGCATCCTCAATAGAGTGAGGGCAATGTGTCATAGCCAGAAGAGTTGCTAGAGAGTATTCAACAAAAAATGTGTATAAAACACCTGGTTTTTACTAGGAATCAAATAAACTGTGGAAATAGCTAATATAAAATTTAATGAGAAGCAAAAACTAAATAAGGATACTTAATAGAGATAAACTTTGAAGTTCACTGGAAATTACATACATATATACCATGGATATACTATTAACAATAGTCTATCTAATGGCAGTTTGGAAATTATTTGCTAAAATCTACTTTATTTTTTTAATTTTATTTAATGAACATAAATTTCCAAAGTACAGCTTATGGATTACAGTAGCTTCCCCCCTCCATAACTTCCCTCCCACCGACAACACTCCTCTCTCCCACTCCCTCTCCCCTTCCATTCACATCAAGATTAATTTTCAATTCTCTTTATATACAGAAGATCAATTTAGCATATATTAAGAAAAGATTTCAACAGTGTGCACCCACACAGAAACATAAGGTATAAAATACTATTTGAGTACTAGTTATAGCATTAATTAAACACCTAAGAATAATTGTGTATTAATTACAGAGTTCAACCAATAGTAATAAGTAGAAGATAAAAAATACTAAAAAGGGTAAAGTATTAAGTTCTTTGTTTGTTTGTTATATAGTTTTTTTTATTTAATAAATGTGAATTTACAAAGTACAACTTTTGTATTGTTGTGGCTCCCCCCCCCCACTCCCTCTCCCATACCGCCCTTCATCGAGTTTCATTTTCAATTACCTTCGTATACTGAAGATCAACTTAATATATATGAAGCAAGGATTTCAACAGGCTGCACTCACACAACCGCACAAGGTATAAGGTATTGTTCGACTAGTAGTGTTGTCTTTAAGTTTCATAGTAAAACACATTAAGGACAGAGATCCTACGTGGGGAGCATGTACCCAGTGACTCCTGTTGTTGATTTAACAATTGGCACTCTTATTTATGACGTCAGCAATCACCTGAGACTCTTGCTATGAGCTATCTAGGCTATGGAAGCCCCTTGAGTTCACCGACTCTGAACTTGTTTAGCCAAGGCCGTATCACAGTGGAGGTTCCTTCCTCCCTTCAGAGAAAGGTGCCTCTCTCCTTGATGGCCTGTTCCTTCTGCTGGGGTCTTGTTCACCAGGATCCTTCATTTAGATTGTTTTTTGCCACCGTGTCATGGCTTTCCATGCCTGTGAGACTCTCATGGACCTTTTAGCCAGATCCAAAAGTCCCAAGGGTTGATTCTGAGGCAGGAGTGCTATTTTGGGCATTTGCCATTCTATGAGTCTGCTGTGTGTTCTGCTTCCCCTGCAGGATCATTCTCTCCCTTTTAATTCTATCCTTCATTATTTGCTTACACTGGTCTTATTTGTTAAATCTCTTCGACACATACCCTATCTTTTTGATCGGTTGTGTATTTATACTTATCACTTTACCAAGTGCGCTGGCATTGGTACCTGCATCCTTGGTAAGATTGAGTTGAAATCCCCTGGCACAATAAAATCTACTTTAAATTACACTACCCATGCCTCAAGCTAATTCCTAAAAGAAGTATTTAAAGCCATGAGAGAAAAGATGTTTCAAAATTGCACTTGACTTGGAAGAAGGAAGGAACATGAAAATTCTTATAAACAATACATTTTGCAGAATTATGTTTGAGAAGAACATAATAACTACAAAGTTTGGAGGAAGGAGCCTTGTGAAGACAATCACTCCTTCAGTGTGAAACATGCTATCAATGCCTTTTATGTGCCTAGAGACTCAGAGCTTAAATATGGCTTTTAAGAACATCTTTCTCTGAGCAAATTCTTCCTTTGACAGTACCTTCCCCAGAGCTGCCTTCATGGCTTCGTTTCGCAAGCTGTAGATGACAGGATTGAGTGTTGGAGGTATCACAGTATAGAATATGGAGAACATGAGATCCATAGCTGATGGGGAATCTGAAGGAGGCCTTAGAAACTCAAAGCCTGCAGCCGAGAGGAAGAAAGTGACTACAAATAGGTGTGGTAGGCAGGTGGAGAACACCTTGGTCCGTCCTTCAGCTGATGGGATTCTCAACACTGTTGAGAATATGTGAACATAGGAGAGTACAATGGAGATCAAACAGGCAAATGCTGTTGAGGTTGTGAATGCAGCCACTGCAATCTCATTCAGGAATTCATAAGAACAGGCTAGTTTCAGCATCTGTGGAACATCACAGAAGAATTGATGAATGACTCTTTCCCCACAAAGAGGTATAGAGAAGTTTACAGCCGTGTGCATGAGTCCAGAGAGGCCCCCTGCAATCCACACAGCAACCACTGCCTGCCTGCAAGCACGGGGGTCCATGATAGTCTCATATTGTAGTGGCTGACAGATGGCTACATAGCGGTCATAAGACATCACTGTGAGGATGGCCACTTCTGATGAGGCCATAGCTATGAAGAAGAAAACCTGAAGGATGCACTGACCAAGGGAGATGTAACCATTATTCATAAGTGAATTGGCAATGGACTGGGGGACTGTGACAGATATGAAGCAGAGGTCCAAAAGAGAGAGGTGCTTCAGGAAGTAATACATGGGGGAATGAAGACGATGGTCCAAGGTAGTGATAGTGATAATCAGGAGATTGCCAGTCAAGGCCAGCAGATATGTTACCAAAAACAGCAGCGCATGTAAAATCTGAAGTTTACGGTCATCAGAAAACCCAATGAGGAGGAATCCACTCACTGAAGTTAAGTTGTCCATGGTTAGCCTGAAGGTACCAAATTTAATTCTGCATAGGAAGAAAAAAAAGGTGGAGAAAGAATGCTTGCTATTTAATATATTTTAGTGCCAACCATTATACCTAAAGATACAAATCCTGAAACCTGTAATCCTGATTATTGAAATCTGCCAACGTCAAAATTTCTAAAGTCAAAAATCCTCAAAGTCACAATCCCAAAAATTCACATCCCAAATTTGAGGTCATGAAAGTTTCAGTCCCCAAAGCCACAGTCCCCAATCCATCCTAGTCTTGTTTCTGCAGAATCTGTGCTCTCTACCTGAGTGCACAAAGAATAGATTTCTCCATACCCAAAATAACACAGAAACATGGCTCAGAAGATGGGAAAATTTGATAAGGGCATGCTCATGTTGGTCTATATTGAATCTCAGAAGAATTTCAAAAGGAGCTGTGCCAGGAGAAAATGAATGTGAATGTCTTCTCTGAGGAGAGCTACACCCTACTCTTGTAACAGAGCTATTCATTGCAATCCAAGTCTTCATGATATAGTTAATGATTACAAAAGTTGACTATCTCTTCCAGACTACTTGTGTACAATTGTCCATAATCTAACCCAGTAAAATGCTTTTTCATATGTTGATGCTTTTGTTTTTCCCCTTTCATCTACATTTAGTTTTTCCCCACTATTTCAAATTGTATTATGTTGTATAACTCTCTCTGATATGAATTTCAGTTTCACATTATTTCCTACACTGAAGGTATAAATTGTGTAAAAACATTTACAGAGTTCTAATTTATTTTCTTCAATTTTTTGGAAATCAAAAGTGCCTTATCTCAACATTGACTTTTTGTCTAAGCATTGTACTTGTGTGTAAAAGCACTGAAATATTATCAGTAAAAGAGGATGCGTCTTTTGTGTACATCTACATTTGTGACAAGTAAAATGTCACTCATTTTGGTTTTGATTCATCTTCACAAAAGAATTAAACTGTCTGTCATGGTACTTCATATGACTGCTGTAAAAAAGCTGGGTATACATAAGTATCAACCATAGTAATACATTTTATACATTTATATTTTATACTTTATATCCATGTGACTGTCATTAGTATACCTGAATGTTTATGTTTGTAGAAAATGTAATTATTGCCAATTTTTATATGAAGTTGTCTATGAAGTGCTTTTTGTCATGTTTTAAGATGGTTCTCAAATAAATCTGCCTTTCAAAATGAATAAATGTCTTTTTAAGAATCTTTAAATTTTTTTCTAGAGTATGCTTTTAGGATTTTGATCTTGGAATTTTATACTTTAGTGATTAAAAACACCATTTAAAACAAATATATAAAAATCATATTTATGGGGTATTATGTGATGTTTTCATATATGTATACATTGTGAAATGTTCAATCATGGTAAATATACCTATCTCCTCAAATGTCTTACATTTCTTTATGGTAAAAACATAAAAAATCCTATGTTCTAATTGTTTAAATGGAAACACTCTGTACATTAACATTATTTATAGCTGCTCTACTATTTAATCCTAGAACTCCTTACTCTTATATATAAGAGTTCTAAGTTATGGATTATAGGGATTTTGATCTTTCAGAATTTCAACATTTGCAATTACAGTTTTCAGGATACTGTGTTTTGTAAGCTCAACCCAAATCAAATATATGAGTATCTATATGCTAAGCAACTCAGTACATATGGCATGAGTGCACAGAAATCAATATGGATTCATAGCTATAATGGTTAAGTAATATTCAGTTTGGAAAAATATTCAGCCAAATTTTCTGGAGCAGAGTTTAAGTTGTGAAAGTTGGAGAAACTGGTGGACAGCATTTTGGTGCAGCAGGTTAAGCTGCCACTTGTAACTCTGGCAGTTCATACTAGAGTGCTGGTTTGAGTCCAGCTGTTCCATTTCCAATCCAGCTTCTTGCTAATGTCCTTGGGAAAGCAATGGAAGAAGACCCAAGTACTTGGGTCACTGCCATTCATGTGGGGGTCCAGGATGGAGTTTCTAGTTTCAGCCTAATGCAGATCTGGTTGCTGCAGGCATCTGAGGAGAAAACAAGTAAATGGAAGATCTCCCCCTGCCAATCCTTTCAAATAAATAAGTAAAAATTCAAAAACTGTTGGAGAAATTGTTGGGAATTATAGTCTTTACCCTCAGTAATGTCAGTGAAAATGATACAGATGTATCAATTTCATTACATTTTATAACCCGTACCTTAGTGTTACAAAGATGTGCTAAAGCTTCCTTTGATAACCATCTAAAGTGAAGTTGTTGATACTATCTCATACAGGGATCTGGCAAAGCCCAGAAGCAAAGCTAGAAGATATGTTAACTCAGATAATAATCATATTTCTTGCCTATGAAAGGCTCTTGCTATTTTGAAAGACTGGATTTGATTGGATTGAACTTCCCAGAGCAATCTTGAAGAGTGAAATAAGTCTCAAAATCTTATGATTTGATCATTGTTTATACTCTTTGTCTATATTCTTATGGAACAGTGGTCTTTCTATTTTTTACTTGTTGAATATTATTATTACTAGTTCATTAAGCATTTAATTATAAAGTAAATTGAAAGTATCTTATTCCAGGACTTAAAGGAAAGAAAAAAAATGGAGGGTTATTGAGGGAGGGAGGGAGGGAGAGGGAAGTAAGGTTATCTTCAAGTTATATCTATGAACTGCATGAAATACTTTTAAATGTAGAGTTTTGAAAGGTCAATCAACATTATTTTTACTGTATTTCATGACCACAGAAGCACTACTTTTAGTTTATCTATGTCCATTTCTCTACCCATTACAATGTTGTCTAGCCTATAGGCACTAAGTAACAATTTAAGTGGGCATTAATTTTTTAAAACTTTTATTTAATAAATATAAATTTCAAAAGTATCAGTTTTAGATTATAGCAACTTTTTTCCCCATAACCTCCCTCCCACCCACAACCATTCCATCTCCCACTACCTCTCCCATGCGATTCTTCATCAAGATTCATTTTCAATTATCTTCATATACAGAAGATCAAGTTAGTATATATTAAGTAAAGATTTCAACAGTTTACACCCACACAGAAACACAAAGTATAAAGTACTGTTTGAGTATTAGTTTTACCATTAATTCACACAGTACAACACATTAAGGTCAAAGATCCTACATGTGGAGTAAGTGGACATTAAATTTTAAGTGAATAATTTTGTTTATATCCAAGCAAAAACTTAGTGATCAAGTTCCATGAATCACTTCATCAGTTATTGTGGTTTGTTTCATTTGCTAATCCATAAATAATAGGAAAAGGATAAAAAATCACTTGAACTATCATCTTCCTATTTTTGGTCTATTTTATTGGAGATCTAACTGAATCACTTGGGGAAGTGCTGCTTAGATGTTGGATGAATTTCATAGAATGTGGAGAAGTTTTACTCACCAAGTTGATCCAAGTCAGTAGAAACACATCTTGGTTGATCCTGAGATTAAGTATCTTTGTTCTAGAACCAAACTGGTAGTTCAGTCTGTAAAATCTTATGTAAGGAAAGGATTGAACTTCTTTCATATATGACTAAGCAGGGAGCATCGAACCAGGAACATTTTAAGTTTCCATTAAGCACATGATTGCTAAAATTAAGCCCGTGCTGTCCAGGCACTAGGGAGCAAACCTATTCAGCCAGGTGTGTGTTTGGGGTAAACACTGTAAGTTCAGAGTATTGGACATTGTGGAGCTCTCCCTCAAGGAATTGCCTCTGTGGAAACGAATTAATTACCATCTTGATTTAACTGACTCCTACAGACTATGCACTCCATGTAGGGAAAATTAATATTGTAAAAACTTGTTTTCTGCAGTGTACATTCATAGTTAATTCTCTGTAGTGCAATGTATTCTTCCTTTCATTAACAATTTCAGTTTAACTGCCCAAGAATAAATTCATATATGATTGTATAGGCCTCATGTAAAAGGAGAATATGTGATTTTTTTTGCATAAACTCATACAGATTTAAAGAATTGAACAGCTTTAGATATGAACCAATACCTAGAGATCTAATCCTCTTCCACACACCATGAATTTTTTAAAATAACCTTGAAGCTGGCAATCAAAGTTGTATTTCAACGATCCCTATAAGAATAATTTTCATCCAAGATGAATGAATGAATTCAGTAGTGCTGGGGAAGTCATTTTTGTTGTGATAAGAACATTTCATATAAAATATACTTTCTTAGTAATGAAAATAATTAAAATTTTTTAAATGTGTATTGTCCATTCCTAAATATCAAAAATTAAATTCCTAAAAATTAAAATTAGTTTTATCTCTCACATTTAAGTTTTTAATCCATTTTGAATTGATTTTTTTGAAGAATATCTTTAAATTTTTGATTTGCATACATTTTATAAGCACAACTTTAGGAACATAGTAATTCTTCCTATTGTACCCGCCCTCCCACACACACTTTCACTCCTCTTCCTCTTCCTGCTCCTGTGCCCAGTCTTGTTTATTACTTAAAACAAAAACCAAAAAAAAACAAAACAAAACAAAAAAAAATAAGAACGAAAGCTGTTCCTCAACAGTCTAGACAAGGGCTGTTCAAAGTTGTTGCATTCCTATGGTAATTATGCTTTTTTTGAAACTTAATTATCTTTAGAGACGAACCCAAGAATGATACATCTTTTGCAAGCACATAGACATAACTGTAATTTGTGACCTAGGAATATCTTCCACTTAATACACTAAAACAAAGTAATTACTTGAGAACAATTTCTTTTTTTTTCAAAATTTATTTAATGAATATAAATTTCCAAAGTACAGCTTATGGATTACAACGGCTCCCCCCCCCCCCGCATAACTTCCCTCCCACCTGCAAACCTCCCCTTTTCCTCTCCCTCTCCCCTTCCAATCACATCAAGATTCATTTTCAATTCTCTTTATATACAGAAGATCAGTTTAGCATATAATAAGTAAAAATTTCAACAGTTTGCACCCACATAGAAACACAGAGTGAAAAATACTGTTTGAGTACTAGTTATAGCATTAAATCTCAATGTGCAGGACATTAAGGACAGAGATCCTACATGAGGAGTAAGTGCACAGTGACTCCTGTTGTTGACTTAACAAGTTGACACTCTTGTTTATGGCATCAGTAATCACCCTATGCTCCAGTCATGAGTTTCCAAGGCTATGGAAGCCTTTTGAGTTCACCGATTCTGATCATATTTAGACAAGGTCGTAGTCAAAGTGGAAGTTCTCTCCTCCCTTCAGAGAAAGGTACCTCCTTCTTTGGTGACCTGTTATTTCCACTGGGATCTCACTCACGGAGATCTTTCATTTAGTGTTTGTTTGTTGTGTTTTTTTTTTTTTTTTTTTTTTTTTTTTTTTTTTTTTTTCTTGGCTTTCCATGCCTGAAAAACTCTCATGGGCATTTCAGCCTGATCCGAATGCCTTAAGGGATGATTCTGAGGCCAGAGTGCTGTTTAGGACATCTGCCATTCTATGGGTCTGCTGTGTATCTCACTTCCCATGTTGGATCGTTCTCTCCCTTTTTGATTCTATCAGCTAGTATTTGCAGACACTATTCTTGTTTATGTGCTCCCTTTGGCTCTTAGTCCTATCATTATGATCAATTGTGAACAGAAATTGATCACTGGGACTAGTGAGATGGCATTGGTACATGCCACCTTGATGGGATTGAATTGGAATCCCCTGGTATGTTTCTAACTCTACCATTTGGGGCAAGTCAGCTTGAGCATGTCCCGAATTGCACATCTCTTCCCTCTCTTATTCCCACTCTTATATTTAACAGTGATCACTTTTCAGTTAAGTTTCAACACTTGAGAAAAACTGTGTATTGATTACAGTATTCAACCAAAAGTATTAAGTAGAACAAACAAAAAAATACTAAGAGGGATAACGTATTAAGTTGTTCATCAAGTCAGGGCAAAAGCTGATCAAGTCACCGTTTCTCATAGTGTTCATTTTACTTTACAGGTTTCCTTTTTGGTGCTCAGTTAGTTGTCACCTATCAGGGAGAACATATGGTATTTGTCCCTTTGGGATTGGCTTATT